GTGAACCCGGGAGGCAGAGCTTGCAGTGAGCTGAGATCCAGCCACTGCACTCCAGCCTGGGCGACAGAGCGAGACTCCGTCTCAAAAAAAAAAAAAAGAGAATAACTGGAAAGGCTCAAGTAGGTTTTTCCAAAGCTCTCGCGTTAGGAGGAGTTCAGCCTGGAATAAGAGCATGTGTTAGTTTTGTCATCCCATCTAACTACAGATTGAATTACCCTGATAGGTTTTTAAGCCATTCCAATGTGCATTATCTCAATAAAGCTGTTATTTAAAAAAATACTAGATTGCAGTTTTAAAATACTTACATTTTACAGCTTCTAAAAAAGGAAAGTTATTTCCAACCAGAAAAGTGAAGTAGAAAAATGAATTCTTTGCATGGAGCATGGTGATTTATGCCTGTAATCCCAGCACTTTGGGAGGCCCAGGCGGGCAGATCACAAGGTCAGGAGATCGAGACCATCCCGGCTAACACGGTGAAACCCTATCTCTACTAAAAATACAAAAAATTAGCCTGGCATTGTGGCGAGGCATTGTGGGTGTGGTGGTGGGGGCCTGTAGTCTCAGCTACGTGGGAGCCTGCGGCAGGAGAATGGCGCGAACCCGGGAGGCGGAGCTTGCACTGAGCCGAGATCGCGCCACTGCACTCCAGCCTGGGCGACCGAGCGAGACTCCGTCTCAAAAAAAGAAAGGTTATCTGGGCACACTGGCACACACTGTAGTCCTAGCTGTTGGGGAGACTGAAGTGAGCGGAACACTTGAGCCAGGGAGATGGAGGCTGCAGTGAGCTCTGATTGCACCACTGCACTCCAGCCTGGGTGCCAGAGGGAGGCCCTGTCTCTGAAAAAAAAAAAGAAAAAAAAAATTGTATGTGCAGAGACCTTACGTCCAAATAAGGTCCCGTTCACAGGTACTTGAGTTAGGACTTCAGCATCTCTCTGGGGAGCAGTTTGACCTGCGGCACTGGCGTTCATCTCTGTCTTAGTCGTTGTATTAGCCGTTTTGTTTCTTAGCTTTCCATTTGTATTTCTATAAGATAAGAAAAATGGGCCGGGCACGGTGGCTCAGTAATCCCAGCACTTTGGGAGGCCGAGGCGAGCAGATCACGAGGTCAGGAGATCGAGACCATCCTGGCTAACACGGTGAAACCCTGTCTCTACTAAAAATACAAAAAAATTAGCCGGGCGTGGTGGCGGCGCCTGTAGTCCCAGCGACTCGGGAGGCTGAGGCAGGAGAATGGCGTGAACCCGGGTGGCAGAGCTTGCAGTGAGCCGGGATCGCACCACTGCACTCCAGCCTGGGCGACAGAGCGAGACTCCATCTCAAAAAAAAAACAAAACCAGAAAAGATGTAATATAGTATTTGAAACGTGAAAAAATAAACATGCCGAAGCAATGGATTTGGTGTTGGGATTCCAAAGCTACCGTGTCATGAGTGGGCCTCAGAATGAGCCCCCTTAGCCCAGGTGGAAAGTCATTTCCGTGTCTCCTCCTCCAGGAAACTCCCAGTACAGCCAGCAGCAGGCTGGGTACCAGCAGGGCGCCGCGCAGCAGCAGACCTACTCCCAGCAGCAGTACCCCAGCCAGCAGAGCTACCCCGGGCAGCAGCAGGGCTACGGTAAGAGGGGAGCACGTTCCTCGGGGCCCCCCAGCGCCCACCCCTGCTGCACATGGGTACGTGCATGGTGACCCTGGTGTGCAGGCAGAAGTGTCATAAACTTATTTTGGATACTTCTGGGTTTCCAGAAAAGTTGGAAACATACATGCATGTAGACCTGAAACATCTTATTTTAACTTGAACATAAATTCATTGCCCACGTGGCCTGTGACGGTTGCCAGTGTCCCGTCTGTCTGCCACCTGCACGCCTCATGCCCAGCTTCGACCTCTTTGACAGAGCAGGTCAAAGCCTGTGGGTCTCAGCCTTCACTGCAGCTTAGAATGACCCAGGAAACTTCTGACAAATAAGTTCTGGGCTGCCCCAGGTCTTTTGTTGGAGCAAAATCCCAGTTCTCAGGATGAGCTACACACACACGGTTTCTTATGAGGCTCATGCCTGATTCTGCTGTGCTTGTTCAGCCCTTTACAGCCATTACAATAAATAGTATAAAAATCACTTGAGGAGGCTGGGCACGGTGGCTCACGCCTGTAATCCCAGCGCTTTGGGAGGCCGAGGTGCTTGGATGACCTGAGGTCAGGAGTTCAAGACCAGCCTGACCAATATGGTGAAACCTCGTCTCTACTAAAAATACAAAAATTAGCTGGGCGTGGTGGTGGGGGCCTGTAGTCCCAGCTACTCAGGAGATGAGACAGGAGAATTGCTTGAACCAGGAGGTAGAGGTCACAGTGAGCCGAGATCACACCACTGCACTTCGGCCTAGGTGACAGAGTGAGACGACTCCTCAAAAAATAAAAATAAAATATTACTTGAGGCTCAGTGTGGTGGCTCATGTCTGTAATCCCAGCACTCTGGGAGGCTGAGGCAGGAGGATTGCTTGAACCCAGGAGTTCGAGACCAGCCTGGGTGACATAGTGAGATCATCTCTACAAAAAATACAAAAATTAGCAGGGCATGGTGGCACACTCCTGTGGTCTCAGCTACTTGGGAGGCTGAGGCAGGAGAATTGCTTGAGCCTGGGAGGTGGAGGTTGCGGTGAGTCAAGATCACGCCACTGCACTCCAGCCTGGCCTGGGTGTGTCTTTAAAAAAAAAAAAAAAAAAAAAAAAAAAGCCTCTATCGTATCAGTTCTTTCTGGAGCCTTTGACTTAGGCTTCCTAGAGACGATGCCCCTGTCTCACCTGCCTGCAGGTTTCCAGCAGCTCCTGTGATCGTTAAGTTACAAGTTACAGCAGCCAGTGTGACTGGTGCCAGTGGGTTCTGGAGGGCTCTCCTGCCCTCAGGTAGCAGCAGCTCGGGGGAGATGGAGAGAGCCCATCAGCCCTCCCCATGCTGGTGGGGGCCTGGGGCACTGTCCTGGGACCTCACAGGACTGGAGGGGCTAGGGAGTCGGTTGTGTGGTGCTCTCGCTGTTCAGAGTTAACGAGGAGCACGTGCAGGTGCCAGGCGTTCTGGAGATTGACAGAAGGCTGATGCATTGAGACAGGAATTTTTTAAGGAAAAGAGGAAGAAGTTTTTAGAAAATTTTTAAGTTAAGAAAAAAAATAAAGATGCGCCCGTTTTGGCCTCACAGTTCCTGGTATTTTCTCAGGGCCTGCCCAGGGAGCCCCGTCACAGTACCCCAGCTACCAGCAAGGCCAAGGCCAGCAGTACGGAAGCTACCGAGCACCGCAGACAGCGCCGTCTGCCCAGCAGCAGCGGCCCTACGGCTATGAACAGGCAAGCTTTCTGGATGTTTCCAGATGTGCCCATCCACCGCGCCTGTCGAGACATAATGAAGATTTCTCTTATGGCCATGAGGAATAATGAGCTGGAACTAACTGGCTTCCAGGGTTCCTTCCAGAATGTTAAGTCTCTGAGCCTGTAAGGTTTTTCAGAATTACCTCTGTGTATATACTCACCTCAGTCATCCAGCTGGCTTTTCATACCCTGAGCTCACCGTTAGATCTGCATGCCTGGTTCTCACATTCGTTCACTCTGCCAGTGTTTGTCGCGTACTGGGCACGTGTCTGGTCTCTGCTGGGTGCTTGGTGTGTGGCCGTGCCACGAACCCTGCGCTTTCAGAGCTTATTATCTCGCTACGGAGACATAAGGTTGTTCCACAGGCCAGACGGTGCTGAGATCAGAGTGGGGGGCCCCAAGTGGAGCCCGCCTTCCAGGTGGGGGCACAGGCGGCTGCATTTGGCCCCTGTGGACAATTCCAGGACGAAGACACAGTGGGGAGTGGCAGTCCCAGGCTCAGCCCAGGGAGGGGTAGCCCTTTCTGCCCAGGAACAGCGAGCAGGGCTTTGAAGGAGCTGAGGAAAGAGCAGCTTGGAAGATGGAAGAGCGGGAGCTCTTGGGACAGTGAGGAGGCCGGCTTGGCGGGAGGTGACAGGGACAGGTGGGCGTGGGGGCCTCCATAAAGCAGGCATCGCCTTCCCTGTGAGTGGGATGGGGCCCCTGGAGGAGGACAGGGTCTGTGTGGCGGGAGCACTGCAGGAGCGAGGGCCTCCTAGAGGAGAATGAGCCAGGCACAGGAAGAGGGCGTGCCAAGGTCCTGAGGCACCGGGAGGTTTGTCCCAGTGAAGGCAGCCCGAAGGAGGCTCGGTGGCTGGAGCACGGGGCATACGAAGGAGAATGGTCTTGGACATTTTTTGGAGCCTCCTTTGAGAGAGTCCTTAGCAGGAAGTGGCTCTGTGTTGGTGACTCTGAGCTGGCCAGAGGTGTTAGGGACACTTTACACCGCTAGTGAAATTTCAAAGCACTGCGTCGATCAAGGTGGTTTTCTCAGGGAACTGGGTAGGTAAGAGGCCAAATACTATTTTTTAAATGCTTCTTGTCCTCCTCCCTCAAGAGGGCAAAGGGTCACCAGGTAGATGTAGAGAAGCCTAAAGATCATGTAACACAGGCCCCCTACCAGGGCACAGTACTCAGAAGGTCATGCCTGGGAAGGGCACGCCGATGAGGCATTTACACAGACGTTAGGAGTGCTCCTGGTGTGCTCTCAGGACACCGTGAGGCCACTGCAGCCGACGCCAGGGGCCGCCTCTCCCCAATGTGTGCTGGGCGCCGGTCAGCGGGGAGCAGGCCCCAGCTTGGCCCTCTAGGCTTGCACAGGAGCGTCATGCTGGGGTCTGCAAGGACAGCAGTCTGCATCCAAATTAGAATTAATGATTCTGACGAGACACTATACCTCCTTCATACAGTCCTGAAAATAACTTATTTGGATTTTGTGAAATAAGTGAATGTCCTAACTTAATTATAAGACTGAACCAGAGGACATACAACTTTATGCCTACCTATGAAAGGACCGTGACTGGTTGTGGTGGCCCATACCTGTAATTCCAGCACTTTGGGAGGCCAAGGCAGGAGGATTGCTAGAGCCCAGGAGTTTGAGACCAGCCTGGGCAACATAGCGAGACCTGTCTCTACAAAAAATAAAAAAAGTAGTCGGGCATGGTGGTGCATACCTGTAATCCCAGCTACTTGGAAAGCTGAGGCAGGAGGATCCCTTGAGCCCAGGAGGTCGAGGCTGTAGTGAGCCGTGACTGCACCATTACACTCCAGCCTGGACTATAGAGAGCAAGACTTTGTCTTAAAAAAACGAAAAAGAAAGGCCAGGTATGGTGGCTTACACCTGTAATCCCAGCACTTTGGGAAGCTGAGGCTGGTAGATCACCTGCAGTCAGGAGTTCGAGACCAGCCTGGCCAGCATGGTAAAACCCCATCTCTGCTAAAAATACAAAAATTAGCAGGGTGCCTGTAAGCCCAGCTACTCGGGAAGCTGAGGTGGGAGAATCACTTGAACCGGGAAGGCAGAGGTGAGCTGAGATCACGCCACTGCACTCCCGCCTGGGTGACAGAGCGAGACTCCATCTCAAAACAAAGAAAAGACAAGACACAAAGCAATGGAGAAGACAGAGAATTCCACATTTAGGGGGAAATGTGTCCATCTAACTGCAGAATATTAACATAACATAGTCTTTAGTCAGAATCAAGTGTAACTGGCCATGGCGTTTTGGCACAGCACTGCCGGCGTTGGGCGTCTCCTAGGGGCCGTTGTGCACACGGTGTTATGTTTGCAGCACCCCTGGCCTCCACCCACGATGCCAGTAGCACCCCCGTTGCCCAGTCTGACAATTTAAAATGGCTCCAGACATTGCCAGATGCCCCCCAGGGCAAAATTGTCTTCATTTGAGAACCACTGGGCTACACTTAAAAATGTGCTGAGGTGGCCAGGCACAGTGGCTCACGCCTATAATCCCAGCATTTTGGGAAGCCGAGGTGGGCGGGAGCGGACGGAGACAGACGAGATCGCGCCATTGCACTCCAGCCTGGGCAACAAGAGCGAAACTCCCGTCTCAAAAAAAAAAAAAAAACACTGAAGTGCTGAGGCGTTGGGGCTGCCCGTGGTTTTACAGGGCTCAAGGGCTGCCATGCCTTCAGCTGAGCAGCTCTGGCTTTGAGGCTTTCCATCTTACCCAATGGTGCAGGGGCAGAAAGACATCAGAACGGACTCCTGCTAACTAGGACCATCACAGGCGGCTCTGGGAATGAAAACGTGACAGGCTGTGTTCACCAGGAACGTTATGTGGACTGGATTCTTGGTCAGGCGGGAACAGCTTTCCTCCCTCCCCGACTTCCTTGCTGCAGGCACTCAGGAAATCTGATCATTAACTAGCTGGGGGCACAGGGAGACTCAGGCATGCAATGATCGTTGTCTTCCTCTGTGGCAGTCACCCGAGCGGCTTTTACCACAGATCCGATGCTCCGTTTCGCTGCTCAAGGAATTCTCTGTCTTGTGGCCTTGTGGGCATGGGCTCTCTAGTTCTCTCTTCATGCTGTTGTTTTCGTCTGTTGTTGTTGTTGTTCTTTGAGACGGAGTCTCGCTCTGTTGTCCAGGCTGGAGTGCAGTGGTGCGATCTCGCTCACTGCAGCCTCCGCCTCCCGGGTTCTAGCGATTCTCCTGCCTCAGCCTCCTGAGTAGCTGGGATTACAAGCACGTGCCACCACACCCAGCTAATTTTTGTATTTTTAGTAGAGACGGGGTTTTGCCATGTTGGCCAGGCTGGTCTCGAGTTCCTGACCTCAGGTGATCCTCCCACCTCAGCCTCCCAAAGTGCTGGGATTACAGGTATGAGCCACCATGCCTGGCCTCTTTTTTTTTTTTTTAAGACAGGGTCTCACTCTGTCACCAGGCTGGAACACAGTGGCATGATCTCAGTTCACTGCATCCTCCACCTCTCAGGCTCGAGTGATTCTCCTGCCTCAGCCTCCCAAGTAGCTGGGATTACAGGCACGTGCCACTACCACCTGGCTAATTTTTTTTTGTATTTTTAGTAGAGACGGGGTTTCACTGTGTTGGCCAGGCTTGTCCTGAACTCCTGACCTCAAGTAATCCGCCCACCTTGGCCTCCCAAAGTGCGGGGATTGCAGGCATGAGCCACTGCGCCTGGCTGAGGCTACTTTTTTCCATTTTTTGGTACAGATGGTGTCTTGCTGTGCTGCCCAGGCTGGTCTCAAACTCCTGGGCTCAAGCAGTCCTCCTACCTCAGCCTCCAAATTCAGATTTTTTTTTTTTTTGGAAATAGTGTCTCACCCAGACTAGAGTGCGGTGGCATAATCATGGCTCACTGCAGCCTTGACCTCCTGGGCTCAAGCCATCCTCCCACCTCACCCTTCAAGTAGCTGGGACTATTGGCACACGCCACCACACCCGGCTAAGTTTTGGATTTTTGTAGAGATGGATTCTGGCCATGTTGCCCAGGCTGGGTCTTCAGATTTTTTTATAGATTGAAACGCATTACCCTGGTCGTCCCCGCTCCCATTTACTTACTTTAGCGGGCTGGGGGACAGATGGTGTTTGCATCAGCTCCCAGGGGGCCAACTTGGAGGAGAGCCTTCCTGCATAGCAGGCCCAGCGTAAGGCTCTGATGCCAGGCCTGGCACAGGCCCAGCCGCAGCGATGCCAGTGTGTGACTGAACGAATGAACCTTTGGCCCTCTCTACGTTGTTAGCCCCAGGCTTGGCCGGTGGCTTCTGGAAAGCCGTTCGCTGCCCGCCTGAGATGTGGGCAGAGGTGGTTTGCTTGCCATTGTCCCTCCTACCCCCTGTCCTGGCTGGGGTGGACGTCTGTCTTCCTTTTACTCGTGACTATAGGGGTGTAATCTGTGTCTTGATCTCTTTTAGGGCCAGTATGGAAATTACCAGCAGTGAGGGACACACGTTCTGGCTGGAGCCCTTGTGGTAGCGTGTTCATCCAGGGGCCGGATGGGCTGGCGGCAGCTCTGGTGAACTGTGACATGTTGGTTACCCTTTCGCCCAGTGCCACGTCTGCATGTGAAGCGTGCTCATTTCATGCTGGGTATGACGCCGAGCGCGCACCCCTGGCGCAAGACAGCGCTTGGTGGTGTGATACTTTTGGTGCTGTGTATAGTATTGTATGTCGGTACATGGAGAGGTATCCGTTTTTTGTCCCCCTGCCCCCTTCTCAATGTTTCTAGCTAGCTTTGGGGGTCATTTTGTCATCAGAGCATTCTGTACCCAGGGGCGGGACAGATCTTGAGGACACCACAGTCCACCTGTTCCCGTCAGCAGACCTTAGGTCTCATTTCCCTCCCCATGCAGTGTTGTCGTGTGGGTTGTCAACTTCTCTTTAACTGGCTACACCACAGCTGGACACACATACAGCCCCTGGAGGGCAGCCTCTTCCTGTGCCTCGATGGGGTGGGTGGGAGGGCATCTTCTGTGTGTTGGGCCAGTTTCTGTTACATAACGAAAAGGACAAGCACCTCCCACGGGAGAGGCCACAGATGGCCACCTCCAGAGCTTGCTCATTGCCTGTCTCTCGCCAATTCCGTTTATCCAAAAAGGTACATAGTTTTGAATTAAAAAGTAAACAGGGATCAGTGACTGTATTCCAGATAAATATGAATCCCTAAGGGCCGTGGACAAATTGCCTAACCCAGGGCCGGCGGTATTGCTGAAGGAAAGAGGCAGCTCTCTGGGTTACTCTGGCTCTGACCCTTGTTTAGCTGATGGTCATTTCTGGGATTGGAATAGTTAATACGCCCGATTCTAAGTTGATAGGTAATTTAAAATATTCAAATCAAATTTTCCAAACAGTTGGCAAGTTGTTTATTTTATATTATTTCTTCCAGGACCTACTTGCTCAGATCTCCAAGCAAGCATTTCTTTTCTTTTAGGGATGTCTGAAAGTCACATCCACTAACATTACTGTGTTCTTTCTAATGAAAAGTAAAGGTTTTTTATAGAGAAACTTGAGTAATTTTTACATTTCTAGGACATTAAATCCCATTTAAATTCTGTGTGAACATTAAAGACAGCACACTTGCAAAAGTATGGTCAAAGGAAAAAAAAAATCCCACATTTCCATTAATAAGTAGCATGGACTTTTGATCAACCTTTACGTGGAATAATAATATTCATATTTGCCATTAATCCTTTTAAAAAAATCTTTGGATAAATGCTGATGAATTTCCAAGAACTACCAAGAAAATACAAAAGATATCCAATGCTTGATATATGAGGCCTACTAATAACGATATTTCTCTTCAGTTGATGTTTTGTTTTAAAAGTTAAAATTCTTGGCCGGGCACAGTGGCTCACACCTGTAATCCCAGCACTTTGAGAGGCTGAAGCAGGCAGATCACCTGAGGTTGGGAGTTCAAGACCAGCCTGACCAACATGGAGAAACCCCGTCCCTACTAAAAATACAAAATTAGCCAGGCGTGGTGGCGCATGCCTGTAATCCCAGTTACTCGGGAACCTGAGGCAGCAGAAATGGCTTGAACCTGGGAGGCGGAGGTTGCAGTGAGCCAAGATTGCGCCATTGCACTCCAGCCTGGGCGACAAGAGTGCAACTCTGTCTCAAAACACACACACACACACACACACACACACACACACACACAAAGTTAAAAGTAATTATCCAGAGTTGCTTTAGAATTTACAAGTCACTTATGTGTTTTGCCTGAATTAATCCTGACAGCCCCTATGAGGAAATCTGGAGTAACAGTTCCCATGTTAGAGATGAAGAACTGAGGCACAGATTAAAGGACTTGCCTGTGTTGAATACCAGTCCTGTTCTAGGACATTCTCCCCTCCTCTACGGGACAGATGTCACACACAAATGGGGATAGAAGTGTTTATTCTGTAGGCGTAAGGGTTTTTAGAACCCTTAACACTGGTAAGGGCTTAAAAATAAATGTATATGTTCATATTAAATTACTGAAATGAGAGTTAATTGCTAATTGACAAAAGTATTAGCAATTTCAGTTAGGGAGTCATCTCCCTTGATTTTGTTCTTTTCCTGTCGATTTTCATAGAACTAATTTGCAAACTCAATCGGGGACTAAAATTTCCCACTGAAAATGCTAAACATTTTAGATAACTGTGAAAATAGTTTATTTTTATTCCTTGCCAATCTGGGAATATGCCTTTTATGTGTGTGTGTGTGTTTTTTTAAGTGCTGTATTAATAATACTTTCTGAAAGAAAAGGACACTTATCCCAAAACTTCAATCTGAAATGTCTTACATTAAGAATATCTTGAATGTTGTGTATATATTTTAAAAAGCACTTTGCAAAATAGTTTGTACATTTATTTCCTAATTTATACATGATTTTTGGTGTTAATATATTTAATGATTAATAACAGAATGTTTATTTAATGTGTTGTCCATTTTTATGTAATATTGTGATGGAAAGTGATGCCAGCAATTTCTTCTCATTAACTTATTCTATCTTCTGTCCTATGAATGTTGAGAAAAGCTTAGGCTAACATGAATTGTTTGTGAAGTGTGGTTGATGGTGCTTTGTTTTTTTCTGACTACTTCCACGGAAGGCCAGTGGAGAAGCAAAGGAAGATGTGAAAATTGACGCTCATTCTTCTTCTTGTTCCCTGACATCCAGCAAATTGTGAATTTGAAAAATGATGACCACAATTTTCAGAAGGGCTGACAAATTCATATTGGTATGCAAAAGCTCATCAGCCATTAGGGTTTGTTGTTGAATCGACAGTACTTAGCATATTAAAACAGTACATCAGAACTCATGCCAGGAGTCTTTATGAATGGGATTAAGGTGGACAAGATCTCCTAAGATCTGAAAAGAAACCTTAATACACTCATATGGTTGGAGTCTTAAGTAAACCTCTGATTTTGTCGGAGTTTTTCTACGTATAGGCTTGAATAGGGGGCATCCCTTCAAAACTGTACAAAGAAGACTGTTTTCCATTTAAAAATTTTTAGCCACTTCATTTCTATTTATTGAACAGGTCAAATTTGTCTTGTTATTTGTGAGTACAGTACATTTAAAAAACATCCTTATCGGTTAATTTTTTTTTTCAGCCGGAGATTGACGTATAAATTGTTCATGCTTTTAGTGTAATCTCTTAATAAACTGGTTCTTCAAAAATCATCCTATAAAGTGGGTTTTCATGAAGTTAATGGGATTTTGGTGTGATTTGTTTTGCAAATACTTACTACCAAGACCCGGTAGATTGTCACCTCGGCTCCTGGGCAGTCCCCGTGCGTCCGCGCCGCATTCCCCGCGGCGGGAAGGCGGAGCCAGGGACAGGGCGGTGGGGACGGCGTCCTGGGGCTGCCCTGCGGTCCCCACTGCCTGCTCTGCGTTGCCCAGTAGCCTCCTCGGGCAAGGGCGGTGTCCTCATCAGACCTGGGAGGCTCCGCAAACGCCGGAGGGGTCGGAGGAGCTGGGGGTCCCTGGACACCGGGTGGAACGGGCGGGGCGGCTGTCCTTGTGTTCGGGCAGCGAGGGCGCCGGCGAAAAGCGCGGGTGCAGCTGAGCGCTCCGCAGCCTTCCCGCTGTTCCTCCTGCTCCCGCTCCTAGGGACGAGGTCCCTCCTCGGTTCCGCCGGCGTATCTTCTGCACCTGCGCACTAGGCAGGCCTTGGGGCTGCCCAAGCCGAGAGGCCCCGGAAGTGGTCGGCCGCTTGCGACGCCCCGGAAGTGACGTGCTCTCCCGAGCCGGTGAGTGCGGGAGCGGGGAGCTTGGTCCCCGGGGGTGGTCGCGGCCCGGGTGCGAGGAGGGGCCTCGGCTTACCGCGGGGTACGGGGCCGCTGGGAGCGGGAGAGGCCCCGGCCCAGGAGCTGAGAGGCCTGGAGGGCTGCCGGGCTGCGAACCGCGGTGGGGAGCGGCGCCTTGCTCCCCAGTCCTGCCCCACTCTCTCCGCAGAGCCGCGTTTGGGGGTCGGAAGTCCTGTCAGCCACCCGCGTGCTTCTCTGTCACAGGGATGGGTGCCGCGTGTGAGTTCCGAGTCAAGTTGTTTAGGAATTTGCCTAAGTATTTGCCTAATACTTACGGCTGTAAGTATTAAACATTTTCTTCTGGAATTTTAAAGTGATTATTGGTAGTGTACAGTTGTACAAAACAACATAAATATATGCACATTTGGATGATAAAAATAAAGTTTTGTATTGTAAACGCTCCTCAAGGAGACGCATTGCCAGATAGTTCACTGTCCGTGGGTGGCTTTTGCCCTGTGAGAGCCGGTTATCCGTTCTGTTCCCGTTTACGTTCTCGTAGCTGCAGATACGGAGGAATGGCGTTCACGCAGACCTGTGGATGGGAATCAGAGGAGTTGTTGGGCAATGTCGCTGGAGAAATACCTTTCTTTTGTAAAGGGGTGGACCCATTTAAAAAAAATAGGAAAGGATAACTCATATTGTTTTAAACGCAAGTTCGTCCTCAGGCAGTTCTGTTTTAGCAGAGAGAACGTAGCAAAACTTGAGAAAATGGATTCCTTTGAAATTATCCTGGCTTTAGTCCCTTGGGAAGTCTATGTGTACGCGAACCTCAGTGGGAAGATTCCTGCGGTAAAATGCAGGTATCAGCAACATGCCAGGGAGGCCAGAGGATACTGTGTGACTTTGGGCAAGTGACTTAACCTCTCTGAGTCTCAGCCTCCACTGCTTTAGATGGGCATAAAAAATGTAAAGTCAAGAATGAGGTTTCTGCTGAGCGCGGTGGCTCACACCTTTAATCCCAGCACTTTGGGAGGCCGAGCCGAGCCGATCATGAGGTCAGGAGTTCAAGACCAGCCTGGCCAACATGGTGAAACCCCATCTCTACTAAAAATACAAAAAAGTAGTCGGGCGTGGTGGCAGGCGCCTGTAATCCCAGCAACTTGGGAAACCGAGGCAGGAGAATCGCTTGAACCAGGGAGGTGGAGGTTGCAGTGAGCCGAGACTGCACCACCGTGCTCCAGCCCAGGCAACAGCGCGAGACTCTTTCTCAAATACATTTAAAAAAAAAACATTTTTCATGCTCACAGGAGGATTTGAGGAGGGTTTATAAAGGGACCGTTTGCAAAGAGAGTATAGGTAAATGACGGTTGGTCCTTTATCCTGGAACTGTGTCAGTGGAGTTTCTACTCCTGGACGCCAAAGGATCAGGGAAGACAGCAGTACCAGGAGAGGGAAGAGTCACTGGGGAGGGCTTCTTGGACTGGAGGTGTAAGCCTCAATCTGAGTGGGCAAGGAGGTCCGTGTCCCAGCCTCCCGTTCCTGCCTCCGGTCTCTGGTAGGGGGCCAGGTCCCAGTAGGCTTTCCTAAGGGGCAGGCTCCTGACACACAGCACAGGGCAGGGTAGAAAGCTGGTCTGGAAAAGCAAGTGGAAGATAGCTCAGCATGCAGTATTACCCCTCGCAGGATATTATTGTTAGGAATACATTTAAAAGTGGATATATCGGTCGGGCGTGGTGGCTCACACCTGTAATCCCAGCACTTTGGGAGGCCAAGGCAGGTGGATCACCTGAGGTCAGGAGTTCGAGACCAGCCTGGCCAACATGGTGAAACCCTGCCTCTATTAAAAATACAAAATGAGCTGGGTGTGGTGGTGGGTGCGTGGTGGAGGATACTCGGGAGGCTGAGGCGGGTGGATCACTTGAACCCACGAGATGGAGGTTACAGTGAACCGAGATCCCACCATTGCTCTCCAACCTGGGCTACAAGAGCGAAACTCTGCCTCAAAAAAAAAAAAAAAAATTGCCAGGCGCGGTGGCTCACGCCTGTAATCCCAGCACTTTGGGAGGCCGAGGCGGTTGATCACCTGAGGTCAGGAGTTCAAGACCAGCCTGGCCAACATGGTGAAACCCCGTCTCTACTAAAAATACAAAAATTAGCCAGGCGTAGTGGCACGTGGCTGTAATCCCACCTACTCGGGAGGTTGATGCAGGAGAATCCCTTGAACCCGGGAGGGGGAGGTTGCAGTGATCTGAGATCACACCACTGCACAAATTAGCTGGGTGTGGTGATGGGTGCCTGTAATCCCAGCTTCTTGGGAGGCTGAGGCATGAGAATTGCTTGAACCCAGGAGGCGAAGGTTGCAGTGAGGTGAGATCATGCCATTGTACTCCAACCTGGGCGACAGAGTGAGACTCCTGTCTCAAAAACACTTTCTGTGATGAGGGCAGTGTTGTAATCTGTGCTGTCCCATATGGTACCCACTCGTGATGTGACCATGAGCACTTAGATGTTGCCTGAGGGACTGAGTTTTTACATTTTCGTTAATGTTAGCCAAATGGCCACATTTGGCCAATGGGGACTGTACTGGACAGGTCAAGGGCAGCCTTGTTGGAAGGAAGATAAAGACACCAAAGAGCGGCGTGAAACAGTGGGATTTCTTCATCCGGCAAGGGAGAGCCACAGCACTCAGCGGACCTCCAAAGAGAAATTGAAAGGGCAAACAGGAGGAAGCAAATTAGGCAAGATTCCGAGTTCAGGTCTCTGGTTGGCTTTGCGGCCTTCTCTGCGGTTGATCTTCAGGTTCCGTGTCACCCGCAGCAGGAAGTCTGGTTTCCAGAATATCCGGGCTGGATGGTGTAACGTCCCAGCAGGCTGAGCCGTGACTGTGCTTGTGTTGATGAGCCTGAGTCATTTTTCCCCGGCCTGTTTTTATGCCCCACCCCTGACCCATCTGACAGCTCTGGGTTAAGTCTCTCCACCTGTCTGCCTCAGTTTCCGCAACTTTAAAATGAGGATGATGAAGGACTTCACAGTTTTATGAGGACTGAATGAGTTAATCCCTGAAAAATACTTAGAACAGTATTTTGCAAGTAGTGAGGTAGAGGTCTTGAAGGTTTATTGTTAAATGATTTTCAGGTACTTTTTGTATTTGGCACTGCCATAAATGGGGTTTTTTTCTTAATTTTAATTTACAGTTGTTTGCAGCTGGTATTTAAGAATACAATTGATTTTTTTATATTAGCCTGATAACCTGCCATCTTGCTCAGTCACCTTATTGTCTTCTTGTAGACTTCCTGGGGCTTTTTTTTTTTTTTTTTTTTTTGAGATGGAGTCTCGCTCTGTCGCCCAGGCTGGAGTGCAGTGACGTGATCTTGGCTCAGTGCAACCTCCGCCTCCCAGGTTCAAGCGATTCTCATGCCTCAGCCTACCGAGTAGCCGGGACTACAGGCGCCCGCCACCACACCCCGCTAATTTTTATATTTTTGGTAGAGATGGGGTTTCACCATGTTGGCCAGGCTGGTCTCGAACTCCTGATCTCAAATGCTCTGCCCACCTCGGCCTCCCAAAGTGCTGGGATTACAGGCGTGAGCCACCACGCCTGGCCTTCCCTGGGATTCTCTATGGAACTCTGTCCTGTCTTCTGTAAACAGGGACAGTTTTATTTCTTCCTTTTTTCCTTTCTTTTTTTTTCCCTTTTATTTCAGTGTGTGAAAGGACATTGTTGCATTGGAATGGTGCATGTGGAGGCCCTTTTTCTCCATCGTGGGAGGTAACCGTTCAGTCTTTCTTCATTAAGTGCGATTAGCTATAGGCCCCATGTAGTGCCCTTATCAGGGCGAAGATGTTCCCGTCTGTTCCCAGTTTGCTGAGATGTTTTGTTTTCCTCCTCGTGAGTGGGTGTTGAGACGGTGGTACCACCTGTTGATACAGAGAAGTGCCTGGGCTGAGTTTCGACTGCTTGATGTGGCCTTGTGTTGAGATTACCCCTACTAGGTCTTGATGTGTGATCGTTTCTGAACTGCTGGATTCAATTGGGTGATATTTTGTTAAGAGTTATTTGCATCTATGTTCATGAGGGGTATGGTCTATACCTTTATTTTTTCATAGTGTCAGGTTTTGGTGCTAGCCTCATAGGATGAGTTGGATAGTGATCTCACTTCCTCTATTTTCCGAAAAAGTGTGTAAGGTTGGCATTGTTTCTTCCTGGAATGTTACATGGAATTTACCAGGAAAGCAAGCCGGGCTCGAGTTTTCCTTTGGGGATTGTTTTTTAATAACAAATTTAACTTCTTGAGTAGATACAGGGCTATTTTAGATTGTTTATTCTTGTGTTTCTTTAATAAGTTGCCGTGTTCAAGAAATGTGTCCATTTCATGTAAGTTGAATTTGTTACTGAATTTGCTGGCGTAAAGTAGTTCCTAGCATTCTCTTGCCCTTCTGCTGTCTGTAAGGTGTGTGCTGATAACCCGTCGAACATTCTGACAGTGGAGATTCGTGCGCTCTCGTTTTCCGGATCAGGCTAGCTAGAGGTGTGTTAGCTTGTCTCTTCAGTGAGCCTGTTTTTTCCTGTTACGTCTTACTGTTGTCTCTTTGTTTTCTTCTGCTCTATATGATTCTCCTCCTTCTACTCCATGCTTACTTTGCTCTTTCTGGTTTCTTGATTTGAAGCCTTAGGTTACTGATTTTAGATCTTTCTGCTTTACCAAGGTAACCATTAGAACTGTAAGTTTCCTTCTAAACACTGCTTTAGCTGCATCTCTTAAATTCTGGTATTTCGTGGTGGCGGGCGCCTGCAGTCCCAGCTACTCGGGAGGCTGAGGCAGGAGAATGGCGTGAACCTGGGAGGCGGAACTTGCAGTGAGCTGAGATCGCGCCACTGCACTCCAGCCTG